TTTAACACTAAAATCATCTATAATATCTACTGGATGTGTAAATGAGCTATGTTTAAGGCCTGAAGGTCACTTAAGGGAATCTACCTGAACAGTCTGTCAGAGGTGACTATGCAACTGGAGCTGACTTAGGTTACTACCAATTTGTGTGGGGAAGTATAGAACTGAGTCTTAAGAGTAAGTGTTAGGCACTGAGCTAACATTGAATTGAATGCTGGAAGCTACACTCCACCTGAACTGTGCAGGTAGCCAACACAAAGCAGTGGACCATTTTGCAGTCAGTCATTGTCATTGTAAAGAGTTATTTCTGCACCTCACTGCAGTGAATTTCAGCAGGCTGGGCAGGGTGTGGAGCAAAAGCATGAGAAGATGTGGAGGGAAGCCCGTTAACCATTTCACATATGATGGAAGCCAGAGAAAATCACACCAAAATATCTTGGCGGTATTAGAGGGTTAGATAATTTTAAAAATTCTATCACTTTTTTTTTCTTCAAGAAAAGTTCTCATGTTCTCAAGGCTAGCTTCAAAGTTATTAGGTAGCCAAAGATAACCTTGAACTTCTGACCTTCTGCCTGTACTATACAAATGTTGGGATTGCATAGGTGCACCAAGAAGAAAGAATGTGGTGTTGTGGGTAGAACCAGAGACACAGAGAGAGAGACAGACAGAGAGAGAGAGAGAGAGAGAGAGAGAGAGAGAGAGAGAGAGAGAGAGAGAGAGAGAGAGAGAGAGAGACTTAAAAGTTAAGTCACAGCACCCCTCATTGTCACCGGTACTCTATTCTAAACACTGAACTAGATTTTCCAGATTACAAAATATAGTCTTCTGTCACAGTTCTGAGTGTGAACCTTTCTATGGAGCTAAAGATAGTCCTTTTGAGCTCCGTCTCCCACCCTCCCCTTCCTTTCCTTTCTGGCAGTCAGGATGGTAATTATAATCTCTATTACTTTTGAAAAACTTTCTTTCCCACCCACATGGCAGCTGATTCCCTGGGCTCTCTGCAACAAGCTCAGGAGAAGATAAAGTGTCTCACTCATTTTCGACATCTCCCTCCTTTTCTTCACTCCCTGGTGGGTTTCCTTGGACCATTTCCTGGAGACAAAACACTGGAATTTCCTCTTTTTCTCATGGGTGTTAAAATATAGTGAATGTGTGGATGTTAGGTAAAGTGCACAGTGGATGGCTCGTGGCTAATTTCCCACTTGAGGTCATTGGCCTACTTTTGAGTAGAGAAAAGCTGCAGGCTCTGCTCAGCGTAGCACAAGGTCTCCGAGCAGTGGGGCACAGCAAGCATCCTTTGCCTCCATTTTGCCTTGGTGTTTGTTTTCCTCTAAAAAAAAATATATATATTTTCCGAAAATTTTCACTGAGTGCACTTTCTCAGTCAAAACAGGATATTAGGAGGATTTAAAAGTTTTCCAAATTAACGTCCATGAAATGATGAAATATAAAACCTCTAGTCCTACCTTGTTTTGCTACTGTGACACTTGGAAGTCTATGGGCCAGGGGGTTATGTGCAAGTTTTCTGTGTAGATTTGTCTGCTCTCTACTCAGAAGGGGGAACTGTTCACAGAAAAATCAAAGAAACTAACCTTGGTCTTTTATGCATCCTGTGAAGAATTGTGAAATACCTTGGGTACTTTTATTGGTGATATTTATAGTAATTGTTTGTATAAGGTATGTTAGTTAGGTCTGTCCTGTAAAATTACAAGTTTTAAATTGGCAGCTAATAAACATCTGGGAGTGTATGCCAACAACACAGCTTTTCTAGGTCTCCTTGAAATTGCACCCACTACTATTAGCACACATTTGTAGAAGGACAATATTTACATCATGCTTTCCTAAGGTTAGCTTCATATTTTCTCATTTCTTCTATACTTAATATTGGAATTCTTTGGAAAGAAAGCTGTAAGTTTCCTTCAACTTTTAAGTTTTTATTGGTGTGAACTCCTGGTATTTGTTTCATTTCACAATTTTAAAAACATCTTGGTACATATTTTGTAGCTCCATTAGAAAACCTTTTAGTATTGACTTTGTGTCATTTTCCTGAAACCCACATGAAGCATGCCCTTATTCTCTGACATCAGATTTTTGAGGTTCATGTTCTACTTTTCCTACATCAGTCATTATCAACAGCATCCCATTCCTTTTACTTCAGAACAGTATTTAAAAACCAAGCTCTGGTCATTATTCACCAGATGTCATTTCTTCTAGGCTCTCTTGAAACTATGGAAAATTCCATGTAATATATTCTAACAGACATATACAGCTGCACAACAATATATCTGTGTCTTCCCTTCTTATTTGTTCATAAAAATCATGTGATTATACATGCTCCAATCTCCATAGGAAGCACCACATATTAGAAGCTGAGAAGAAGAAAGTCATACATATATAACATAAAACAGGATATTTTGATATGACAAAAGACCAGAAAAATAATACTAGTAGACAATTCAAAGAGGTCAAATAACCAAGAAGATAGTATTTATACTAATACTAAGCCCTCATTTGAGAAGTGCACTAAATCTACAAAAAGTATAAGTATTATTTAAAGTATTAACAAGAGTATTGGAACTGTTTATGCTATTTTTTGCAGGTTTTTTGGGGGTGGAGTGGGAGTTCAAATCTCAATTGCTTCAAGTAAAAAGGACAGAAAAGCAATTACAAACACACTTTTAACCTAGTAGTATTCAATCTTTGATTACCAAATTTTATTTCTCCAGCAAAGATATTTGCTTCATGAAGGATTTTTAGTCCTTAGGTAATTTTGTATTTAGTTTAATAAATGTACAATCTTACAAAAAAAAAACAAATGGAGTAACATGTACTATTTTGATGTCAGTGCTGACATTTATTATGAACATAAGAACTAATAATATTCAATAAACTATAAGCCATACAGGACAGTAAGGTAGCTTAGTGGGAATGCATGACAGTTACCAAGCATGGCAACCTGAGTGTGGTATCCAGAACTGGCATGATACAAGAAGAGAACTGACTGCCTTAAGTTTCCCTCTTATGTCTACATGTACACTTCCATGGGTGGGACACACACACACACACACACACACACACACACACACACACACACACACACGTTGACAAATTAAAGTGCTAAATGCTTATAAATAAATTTTAAGGTGTTTTTCATATTCTATGTAACTTAACTATTTCTCTCCTATAGTAATTTTCTGTACGTTATGCAAAAGGTCTTGCTTCAATGATACATGTAATTGTACTTTTATTACATACCAAAAAGCACATAAAATTAGTGCTCAATATAATTATACATGAATAAATGTAAGCTAGAGACACAGTAGGGAACTTCACACCCACCTATGAGAGTTGGGAGCAAAAGGGAAGACTATAAGTATTGAAGAAACTGATGAAATTGGAACCCTGACCATTGTTAGTAAGACTCAAAATGAATATATATATATATATATATATATTCATTTTGAATATAGTGTCTTTCAGAGGTCAGAAACAACCTGTGCTGATTATGTGTTAAATGGAAAAATGAAATGTGGTTTCCCCTGTGGTAGAACAGCATCAAAATTCAGCACAGTATGAATGAATGGACTTTGAAAATGTCAATCTACATGATGGAAAGCAAGCCAGCAACACATGACACATGGAATAGTCTAGAACTGACAAGCAACAGAAACAGGAGTAACTTAGTGGCTGGTCAAGGCCGACAGGATGTATGGAGATTGTTAATAGTTAGGTTTTTGGGCAGTTTTCGCTAATTAAAAATTTCTGATGACCGATAATATGAGTATATTTAAATGATAAACTTTAAACATTACTGGTGAACTTCCTGGCCTATGAATTAAAGTTTAGTTATGATCCTTTAAAGAAACTTATGGCTGAAAAGAGAATTTATGCTATAGTAAAGTGATTTTACAGGTCACCATATTGAATGGAAATCCTTAATTATGTGATAAAAATGGTGATTTTAGTAAAGTTCAATGGAATAAATGAAATTAATGGCAGATGCATTTTTTTAAAATCCAGCTAGAGTGGTATCTCCAAACAAACAAACTCATATATTAGCATTTGCACAAGATAATCTGAGTTACAGCTCTTAAACAATGAATTTTTCCTTTGTACGAACAGGGGTGAAGTTAAACTAAACTTTCAGCATTATAGTTGTAATATTCAATAACAAAGCTAGTAGGAAAAGTATTGAATAAACTTGATGATGTCTCTGTTCAATTAATTGTTAACTAAATGATTTTCTGTACTTTAATTGAATCAAGTTACTGAGTACTTCTTGAAAATAAACCACCCAACTCATGATTTCTCTACTTCCTTTCAATGCTGAGATTAAACACTTGTGAACATGCAGAATAAAAATATTTCTATTAAGAATTTGTGAAATTGTTCCTGGGGGAATCTTTTCATCTCAGCAGAACAGAAATGCAATTAGAGACAAGATAGTGAAATCTACTTTAAAATACCACTGAGTATTTACTGTTTTTATATTAGTGACTTCTCCCCACCATGCATTCTAGGAAAAAATTTATGCATACTGAATCTATTTGATTTAGTAGTTCAGTTAAATGGCAACCATTTAACTTATGGAGAAACAAAAAATAAAGAAACAAACAAACAGCCCACCTTGACCAAAAGCACACAGTAGAATTTAGTAAGATAATCAACATTTTGACTACAATACCAAGTAAGTAATATGAAGCACTGTAATATGAAGTACTGTAAAAGTATTAATCATGGAAACTAACCCTAAACCCAAGAAATAATGTTGAAACTTAGAATGTTGTTCATAAAAATTATATCAAGATTAATGAATAAGATTAATAACCAGTAAGATAAACTTTATTTATGTCTTAGGTCCCTTAAGATATTCATATCTTTCAAATGAAGATAACATACACAAAAACAAATGAAGGCACATATCTAGTTGTATATCTTGGCTTACTATAGGTCTTTATCACACAACTACTAATTTAATTATCTTAAGAAAAAAATATACTTACTGCCCTCTAGAGGTATGAACCAGTAGTGTAATAAGTGTAGATGTTGCTGGGCATATACAGTTTAAAGCTAACATGGCGTATTTAAACTCTTCTTCACAAACAACATGATCTGTATGAAATAAAATAGGTAAATTAGAATAATTTACCTTTTGAGGGTAATTTGTTTAAATATGAAAAATAAAACAATGAATGAAATTGCTAAAGTCTCAGTATAAACATACTTATTTTAGGGCTGTTTTTCAGATTCAATATTCTGTAGAAATACATTTTGTAAGATAGAGTGCTGGAGAATGAGCTCAGGACTGGTCTGGGGCGGCCATGAATGTGGAATTCTAATCCTGAAAAAATGAGGGACCTTGGTAAAATGCTGAAACTGCCCGCACAAGGAGGATAGCAACAGCTGGTTCGAGATGCAGTCTGGAAGACTTTCCAGGTGGTTGATAAAGTCCCTATTAGAGTCCATCATTCAGTGACACAAACACAATAGTACTGACTTTCTGAAAACATAACCACACTTCACTACACTTGAACATTATTAAAATATATGGCAGGCTATTTGACTAACATAAGTAACATAAACTGTCACAGTCATGGTAATAATCTTCAAAATTAATATTATAATGAATTGAAATATAAATGCAGTGTAAATAACCTAAGATTCCTAAGTTCATAAGTGGATAGGGTCCAGCTAGGAAAGATAGCAAGTGATGCTTAAAACTCAGTGACATAAAAGAAAAAGTCTGCTAGAGAGGATGACAGAGAGGAGTGTCAGCCACATCTGTATGCAACAAAGCTGCTTAGCCCATTGTCACCATGTGGGAATGATGACCTAATGTGACAGTTATTTGATTTTCTACATAAATTGTACTTTCAGGAAAGGAAATGAACTACTGTTAATCTAAAGGCAACCATCCCCATGCCAAGTATTTAACATCAGTATTAGAAATTGAGAATGTAGAAAATTTCTAAGGAATATATACAATCTTTGTCAAAAAATAGGAATTTGGGCTAATGGAAAGGAAGGAAGATTAAAGTTGTTAGTGAGATTTAAAACTGTAAAAGAAAAACAAACACCTTACAATGTAGGTAGAGGCAAGAATGAGTGACTTCAGAAATGAGATAGCAACTGTTCTGCTACAAATGTTAGCAAGATGATTTCTGGTTAATGACGTTGAGCATATAAATGAAGCACTCACTGCTTTTTATTTTAATTTTGTTTAAATGTTGCTTTTATTTCTCTTTGTTACATGTTCTTATGGGAAACATTAGAATAGTTATACCTCAGGATTTAGTTTAACAAATATGAAGTATTTGCTAATAAGCTCTGCATCTCCTCATTCCCTTTAGCCCCTTTCTCCCTCCCGTTCTTCCTCTTTCAGATTACCAGTCTGTTGAAATGGTAGTTGAGGAAAACTTTAAAAACACATAGCAGTGATATTTAATATTTTTCAAAGAGGGAGCAGATTCTAACTCCAATTTGAATGTTGAGATGTGTACTGAATATTTGCAAAAGAACAGTGTATTTAAACCACCCTCTGAATATTGCTCAAAATAATTTTTGAATGTGCATGTCTAATCTGTGAGAGAAAGGCAACAAAGCTGTTAAATGGAAAATGCAGTTGCTTTAGACTCCTATCTTAGCAATGCAAAGGAACCATGATTTCTAACTAACACTTGCAACATATGATCTGCAAAAAATACATATACTTCATAACATAAGATAGGACTTTTAAAAATCCAAACTGTGACAGAAAATTTGGAATCTTGATTACCATATGCACCACCACATGCAGTTATTAATTTTTCCTAAGAAGCATAGCAATATTTCTTCCAAATAGAACAACTTGAAAACAGCAGTATATTGGTGATGCTTTGGAAATATTTCCTCATATTTTTCTTCAATAGTTGAAAGTGAAGTATTGTGGCATTTCTTTGCTCAATAGTTAGAATTTTGGAAGGATTGACTGTGAGGTAATTGTATGCTGAGGGCTTTCCCTACCACCACACACAAAGCTGCACTATTCTTTACACTACTCCTTTCCTCAGATAAAGGCTTTGCCATCTCCCATCAGCCCTTCAGGCTTAAATCACATTTGCCACCAGTACCACCATACAAACCTAGAGCATGTTCTGCACTCTTTCAGCGTCATATGCTCAACTATCTACTAAAAAAATGAGTGTAAATTAAAATGTACTTTACTATCTTTAGCATAGCATCTGACTCACTGATAATACTTAAAAGATAGTCAATCACTATGTCCTACTAGTGTCAACATCTATTTCTGCCGTGGTTGTTGGTGCAAGTCTCCTCTTTATATTTCATTTTCTTGTTTATTTTACTACAACCTTTACATAGAAACAATTTGTGCTCCATTATGCATATCTACCTGTACTTTTTCAGTAAAAGAAGTGTTAAAAGTACTTATTTCACAAAGAAGGCACAAAAGGCTAGCAAGAATGATCATTGAGTAAAAAGCTCACTGTTCAATAAGGAAAGCCTAAAAAAGAGGATATCTAGATATATAATTAACACACAAAAAACTGGATACCAAGAAAACAACCCAATTTAAAAATAGGGTACAGATCTAAACAGAGAATTCTCAAATGGCTAGGAAACACAAATACATCTTAAACATGCTTAGATATCAGGATATTGACAATCAATATTGCTTTGAGATTTCATTTTACACTAGTCAGAATAGCTAAGATCAATAAAACAAGTGATGGGTCATGCTGGCAAGGATGTGAATTCTAGGCAACACTCATCAATTGCTGTTGGGACTGCAAAGTTTTACAGCCACTATGGAAATTAGTGAAGCGGTTCCTCAGGAAGATGAAAATCGATCTACCTCAAGATCCAGCTATACCACTCTTGGGTGTATACCCAAAGAGCATTTCACACTACCACGGAGATATCTGCTCAACAATGTTCATTGCTGCTCTGTCAATAATAGCCAGAAATTGGAAACAACCTACATGCCCCTTATCAGAAAAATAGATAAAGAAAATGTGGTACATTACACAGTGGAGTGTTACTTATCCTTTAAAAACACCTGAAATCATGAAATTCTCAGGCAAATGAATGGAACTAAGAAAAAAATCCCTCAGTGGTTAGCCCAGATCCAGAAAGATAAATATTTACTTTATACCTCATATATAATATTACTTTATACCTCATATATAATATTACTTTATACCTCATATAAGTGAGGTATTTAATCACATGTGAGTAGGGACAAAGCAAACAACGAAAACCTTTTATAAATGCAAAGACATTTCTTTTTTAAAGAATCTTCCCTACTTTGGGGACTAGGGACATGAGTCAGTGAGTAAAAGAACTGGGTATGCCACCTTGTTAGCCTAAGCCCAAGTCCAAGCACATACAGAAACAAAGGAGCCATCTTGTCCATGTGTGTCTGTGACCCCTGTATTGTGCTTAGCAACTAGCCACATAAGCCCAAACAGTGGCCTTCAGGTTCAGTAATGGGCCCTGTCTCAAGGAATAAGGCACAGAGTGATAGAGCAGGATCGCTGATAATCTCCTTTGGCCTTCACAACCCTGCACACAGGTATCATAAAGACCCTACATATTACACACACACACACACACACACACACACACACACACACACACACACCTTGCTAGATTTGAGAATTGCTACAAATGAATCCAACTCAGTAACTCTCCTGGACTAAGCAGAGTCTTTCTAATGTGATTTGATGTCATGCTAGTCACCTGTGTTCTGAAACGTGTTAACCTACTTAGATCCTGCTGCCCAATCCTGCTGGTCAACCACATGTAGCTATTCATAAATTAAAATTCAAGAAAAATAAAAGTTCAGTGCTTCTGTCCCACTGGAAGCATATTCAGTGACAGCTGTTATTGCTGACTAACACACTGGGTAGGATTACTGGCTTCCATTGTCATTAGTCTCCTTACTTGGCTTCTACAACTGTCAAATGGGTTCTCATAAGTTCTAAAACAAGAAGGAGAGATTTCAAAATCCTCAACATTTCACTCACCAACAGTCAGAACTTAGACAAGCTTCCTAACAATGCACCATTCCTGTGTACCTTCTCTGTCATATGGCAGCTAAAAATGTTCATCTGTAACAACAGGAGAAAAGGCAGAACATATGGGGATGAATACAGGCTGGGGAGTTGCAGTGGAGGTTTATGAAAGTTATGGCTCTATTTTCTTAGTCAAAAAGATGGAGATTATGAGGAAGAAGGTGGCAAAATAGAGGTTGTAGATAATCTGTTGTTTTCTTGTGTTTTTTCCTTTAGTTTCACTAAAATGCATGCAAGTTGGGGCAGGAAGATAGCTCACTTGGTAAAGTGATTGCCTTAGAAGCATGAAGATGTAGTTTGGATCCCCAGAACACATGGGAAAAAAAGGGCCTGGTGTAGTGAGCCACACATTTAAGCCTAGTGCATGAAAGCAGAGCCAAGAGGATCAGCGTGACTGTGAGCCAGTGAACAGAGCCTATTTGGCTAACCTCAGGTCATTGAGAGCTATCTTCTTAAACACTAAGAGTACAGCTCCCTGAGAAATGCATCCAAGGTTGACTTCTGGCCTTCATGTACAGATGTGTACACATGCATTTATACAAGTGATCCGATAGTGGAGATGGGAAAGGTGGGGGGGGGTCTGTAGTAGGGGGAGCAGGAGAAAAATACAGGAGGAGAGATGTAGGTAAGATCAAAATGAAGGTGTCTGCAAAAGCCACAGGGTATCATAATAAATGCTAGCTATTTGGATAAAAATGCCCTATAACATATGCGATTCCACACAAAAACTTTACCCACCTAAACTGAGAGTGCTCCCTTCAAGAGCCAAAGAGCACCTAACAAAAACACCAGTATCAGACAGGAAAATCCCTCTTTTGAGTTATTGTCCAGGGTGTCCAAGAGACTCCTCAAACACACAGCCTCTTGTTTTTGGTCATGCCCACAGAGTGGGAAGTCTCTGTTACTGAAGACAACATGTATTTCAGAAACAGCTCAGAGATCCCTGAACTGGAACTGAACTGAAAGAAAGGTGGTAGGCAAATCAACAGTCCTACCCAGTTATGATGCTTATGATCTACATCATGAATTGCATGACAA